TTATCCAGACTGTTTCTCAATCTCAGCAATTTTAAGCTGTGTGGACTTCAATTGGCTGGGAAATTCTGAGAATTGAAGTCCATATTGTTTAAAGTTGCTGAGATTGAGAAACACTGATACAGACTTTATGTTTTTTATGTCCCTCTTTGTTTATAACACTCTCTCTCACCCGAGGCCTGGTCCAAATATTTTGCTGTCTAAGGCAAACAATAAAATTGCATTGTTTCCAGATCCAAAAACTGAAACTGATTCCAATACTGGTAATGGATAGCATTGTTACAATGATTGGGTATTAGAACTGCCATTCAAAGGGCACATCCTCCAGGTTTATGTTCTGGAAGTAGGAGGTTTGGGGGATGTGTTCATAGGATAGGTTTTAGGAAAGCCTGGAATCCTACCCCTAAGTAAACCTCTAGTAATCATAGTTAACGATGTACATGTATGTCAGGTATTACAAGGACTGATGAATATACAGGTAGATTGTAAAATATTAACAATCCTGTTGACAAATCAATTTAAGTAAATTTAACAAAAGCTATTTCAGTTCCTTGTATAAATATTAATAAAGTAACAGGTATTTTACATTTTCCCCATGTTTTACCTACTCATTTTATTTCTCATACATATTAATAAATAGAGAAGAAAAAAATAATCCAATTTAGGAAAAGGCTTAGCAGTGGTAGATAAATCACTAGATCCCAGGATTGATGGGATTACATTTTAATTTTAAGGGAAAAAGCAAAATAAGAAAAGGATTTTCATAATAGGATACCATACATGCAACTCTCCTGTTATACCATGCATCATATGCATGATGCATATTTTTCTGTTATCCTAACCTAACATTTGGCTGTGATGCCTTTCAACAAGACTTTTCACTGTCTAATGTACAGTTGGTTGTCTAAACACACACCCAAATACCCAAACATCTTTCTATATAGAAAGATCTCTTTATAAGGACACTGTTTATTTTATGAACTTCTCATCATTTGCTTCTTCATAAGGTAGTATTACCTTTTTACCCGACTCTGTCTCTCTGTCTATTTGCAATTTGTAGTATTGGTAAGAAAAAAAAATAGGAATATATTTTTTTCTATAATAAAAAGATGATCTGCCTCAGGAAGAGTTTAAGCTCAGGAACATGCATACAGTACAGCAAAGTCAGTGACAGGTGATGGGAAAGTCTGAGTTTCTTAAGTCTACTTATAACCAAAACCTGCAGTGTACTCTCTTATGGGAAGGATGTCACAAGTGAAAAAAAGGATGTCACAAGTGAAAAAAAGAGGAAGGAAGTGATGAAAGTTCTGAGAATAGCCATCTACACAATAGGAGGCATGCAAAGTTAAGAAAAGGCGATTAAAATGCAGAGTCCCTCTACTATCTCTGTACCGATTGCACAAGTGATCAGTGGGTTTATTAATGCAGATAGTGATCCATGCAAAGCTGAATTCCAGCTTGATTTCTTGGAAAGCACTCTTTGAACTTTATAGATTTATTTCACAGACACATTTGTCAGATCAGACTGAATTTACAACAATTACATTTATTCATTTATCAAAAGATCTTTTAAGAGAAAAAGCTCAAAAACTGAGCACATATTTGACTTGTACTCTTTCTTTGTAGCAAAATGAAAGACTCTCTGGGCAGAAAAATGCCTTTCCTAAGCAAAGTCTGAATAAAATGTATCACATTTATTTAAACATGGTTTCTTCTTGGAATTTAAAAGTCTTGAAGTTTAATGCAGGAGCTCTGGAAGACTTTCTCTTCAAATAAATGTGTTCTTTCATCCAGTTTAGTCTACATGATTCAGATCAAGCAGAGGAAATAAGGAAAAATGGCATAGCTACCCAAATCTCATTCTGTGCAGAATTTTGATGGCAGAGAAAATATGCACGGCAGACAGATATATTTTAAGGAAGAATAGTGGTAATATTTAAACAAATGGCAGGCAGAGCTAGTTATTCTATTACTAACATTTTCCATATGGCATACAGAATCAGAGTAGCAATGAATGGACATCACAACTGCCTTTCCACTGTTGATCTTTGTGCAGTTATATGCATATAACTTTAATAGTTATAAGGTTGTATTTGAATCTTTGTTTAGTTGTCTGAAAGTTGTGACTATGTCTGTTGTGACAGACAGATAGTTAAGTGAGAAAACTATTTTTTCTCTGACTTGTCTTCACTTTTCCTGCCTATGCCAGACCAGAAACTTACATTTAGATTTTTGCAATTAAGGGGATGAACTGCAAGAAAAGTCACATTCTTCTTTGCTTATTGGCCATAAGTATTCTGTAGGAGGGTCTACAGCTCTTTCTGTGTTATGAAAGAAAATGTAGTGTTGTCTTACTACATTCTTTATAAGGACATGAAAAATATCATTAAACCTGGCTCCTCTCTATCCTACTTGCTTGTTGAAATTGTGAAACCAAAGGTGCTTGCCTAGTAACATAACAATACGCTGAGTTGATGTTTTCATGGAGGATAGAAAACATCTGGCTTGGGCAGACTGTTTGCATTTTGATCTAAGGTAATAAAGATTCACCTAAAAATAAACCCTGCATTGGGAAATATCAACTTTGCATTTGAAAGAATTTTGAAAATATCCATACTTTCATATATTGATTTATTTCTAAATTAGCATTTAATTAGCTACTTAAATAAATGAGAGAATTAGTCTATTGTGGATGCTCAAAAACTGACATTAAGAAAAACTTTAATCCCCCAAATGGAGTTGCTTTTTGGAAGACCAAGGCAAATATTACATTTTGTTTTTGGCTTTAAATTTGCACCTATATGATAAGAGAGTTTACACCATTATGATAAGAGAGTTTGGTAGTTTTTAGTCTATGTGTTTAATGGGCAGCTTCAAGGAATCCGAGCTCTTACAATTAATTTTAAATTTATTGGGCAGTTCTTTAAAACTTATTTGCATCTTAAACTGCCATCTGGTAGCCAACAATTATGTAAAATAGGATATATAACCATCCTATGGAAATTTTAAGGTGTTACCTTAAGGATAAATTATAATCCATGGGAACTGAACGGTATCAATTGGCATTTATTTTCTTCTTCCTCAGTTTGTGAAATTGATGGTTGCTAGATACAATGCTACTGGGAGTTCCGACTTTTCCATCTCTCTCTTTCTCTCTCTCTCTCTCTCTCTCTCTCTCTCTCTCTCTCTTTCTCTCTCTCTCTCTCTGTTTGTGTGTGTCTGTGTGTGTATGTGTGTAGGCCAACATTTTCTCCAGCATTTATCTACCAGACTAGCATGTTTGAAATATAATTGTTCCATATTTTTTTGACAGAACCTTTTGTATAAAAAAACATAGCCCTGTAATGTATGCTGTATATCATTGAAAAGCCATATGGAAATTCTTAGCTTTAAAAATGTTATATGAATATTAAATGAATATTGGCTTGCTTGTATATTTTGATTTGTTACAATTGTGCTGATGGGAAACATAATAAGAGCCAAGCAATAAAATTATTGGAGTTCACTGTAGAATACTTAAGTATTTATTCTTTTTCCATAGGTGCATTAGTTCTTAATGCTTTCCAAAAACTTGAGTATAATATGGTATAAAATATATTTTAGCCTTTCATTTAAGCTTATCCCCACCTTATCATGACAACTGAGTCCGGTGTTTCCTATATATATGTGAAAATGGGCACTATACTTGATAAGTGCTTTAACTGTAAAATTAATAGGAATCAATTCTAATAATTCTATACATTTTTCATGAGGAAGAAACTGGCAGATCTCTAGTTTAAAACCTACAATTTAACACCACCTCTTTAGTTTAATTTTAAAAATAAAATGCAGAAGTGAAGGCAATGATTTTTGTCTGATTTAGCAGTTAAAATCTTTTGATTTTTAACTCTTTAATAAATACTATGAATAATTGATCTGAGGCTGGTTATTATATTTTTAAATGAATATTCTGCCAATAAGTATTTTGCCAATGTCAACTGGAGAGTATATTACTTAGAGTTAATATAGAATAATACAAAATCAATTACAAGTCAATAATTCCAGATACAGTATTGCTTTTAATTGTTCAATGATTTAAATCAGTTAAATGACTGGGCTATTCACATCATTACAGGTCATCTCTTCAGTAATAAACTCCCAAAGGCTACTTTTGGCAGCAGCAATAATAAACCTTATGGTAGCTTTAAGTAATTTTAAGAAGAGACAGCATTTTCTGTTATGGTGAGTGTCCTATGCAACATCATTTCTCTGGAGATCAGATTTGACTGGCCTTTTATAAGACCTTATGGATGTTACTGTGTACCAGGCTTGGATATTAAGATGTGCAGTGCAGCATATATAGTAGACAGTACTATGCTAAGTACTGAATATTTTTTAGACCATGCTTGTGGATGCTGTTATTTTTCAAATTTTTATATATGCTTTATATGTGTTAAGATTATAAATAAGCAATAATATGTAACTATTACATTATATAATTTGATACAGTGGGAATTATAGTATTTTTTAATTTTATTTTGAATTTAATTTCCATTTTTTTCTTCATTGTGCTAGGTATATTCAGTACGTTCCAATACTTTAGAGTTCTTTCTGATCTTGTTGAGATACCAACTGCTAGCAACTTCAGTCAAAATGGTAAGCAATACTGGGAGGATCACAGTTTTTCCTTCCCTGATATAGGTTAAATGAAAATAGTTATATATCAAGCAGTGTTATATTCCCAACCCAACTATCTGTGATGTGGCTGGGAAATTTCCTTTACCATTGTATTGTTATAGATTTAAAAAAAAAACAAAACTAAGAGCTATTCATATAGTAGAGAAGACCCTGTAAGGATCATTAGCCAAACTGATCCCAAAGAAATTCTTCCTGCTTCTAAATATAAGCAGATGATTGCATTGGTCAATGGGACATTTTTTCTTAACCTTTTAGGATGCCAAAAGTAACACACTCTGGCTATTTCCAGTTGCTACCTAGCTATCCTAATATTAGACACGAACAGTCTTTGCTTCAGGCAAACATTTCTGAGAAGTGAATAATCCTGGACATTAAGTGGAATTCTATGAAGACTAAGCTCACGGAAAAGGAAAAACATGAAAAAGAAAACCCATCTAAAGCCATGATGATGAAACAGTTATGGAGAAGGGACTATAGGTTAGTAATGCTTCATAACTGATATTTATAGTAACAAAAGAGTCAAAGAGGTGGTGATGGGGAGGCAGGGAACCTGTTTGGAGAGATTCTACCATAGCATAATAATGGCTAGGTGAAACAATGGCAACAAACGTGGCTATGAAGCCCTTACAGTTGGAAGGGTGATAGTACCTGGCACAATTGAAACTCTTTAAGGACAAACAATCTCATAATGTGAAATGGAAAGCTATTTGGATGTGATCTAAAATCAGATTTTAAGCAAAAAGGTTTAATGGTGTACCTAACCCTACTTTCACACTCAGTATAGAAATAATAATATCTCACAGAATTGCTAGGAAGAAACAAATTGCTAGGAAGAAACAAAGGTAAGCAAGAGATCTATAAAAATAACAGATTCTAGCAAAAAAAAAAAGAATCTACCTGGACAAATTCCCAGTGCCAGCTGGATAATTCTGGAAAGTGCACAAATGGTGCATTTAGGTACCAACTTTCCCCTGTGATGTATAGAAGTTTTCATCCATTGAGGTTCAGGAGATTCTGGCAGCTAAACATTTACTGGTATTGGTTTTGATTAATCCCAGTGTCCATCACCAGATCCTGTGGTATGAATTTCACAAGTTTATTGTCTCAGCTGAATATAATACCAACAAAATAATTCATTAAATTAATTTAATATATAGATATAGATGGTGGTGTCTGTAATAACCAGAATAACATATATACTCAAATATATTGTTATGGAATGCTGTGATTATGTACTTGCTTCTTGATGGATGTTACAAATATATCAGTGGCAGTAATACTGTGTGTACTTCATTTGTCGCCCTTTGCCCTAGACCCCAATAGAGGTGTGCAAATTTGTTTTGGTGGGTGTGAAAAAGGGATAATTGTCATATCTTTCATTGGTCCTTTTGATTTTAAAGCAGAGGAGCATCTACACTTAAACCATTTCTTCATAGTAAATTATTCCAGACTGAACTATGTTAACCTTCATGTGTACATAGATAATTTAACCATGGCAATATATTAGAATTCTGGCTAATTTTTGAAAAGATGAAAAATTAATGACCAATTGGTAACATTTAAAAATTTCAGTAATGCTTTAAAAATAGAATAAAGTGGTCACACTAAGACTAGTCATTGTGTATGTTCAAGGTTGTCTTTTGCCTGTAGTTTTCTGTCATTTTCATATGCTCCTAGCCAGCCATCTTCACAATACCTTGTGCTTAAAGAAAGTGGGTTTGACAAACTAGCTTAAATTCAATACTAACTCTGCCATATATACACCTACAGACAAAAAACAGAATAAAACCAATCTATGATTACAAAGCTATTGCCATAGTAACACCATGAAGTTTCTACAGACAATATGTTTTAAAGAACTGATGAATAACAACAGCAGGAAGGTGACCATTGTGGAAACAGGATCATGTACTGGAGCAAGGACATCCATAGGATTGGTCAATCAATCAATCAATCAATCAATCAAAATCCTACCCTTTTAAAACGTTACATAGTGGGACACTTATACAAAGGAGCAAGACTCCACTTACATAATCATTTTGATGTCACTGTCTGTACTATGGTCACTCCTAGGGGGACGTTTGGACTGGACCAGCAGGTTCTCCTTAAATACAAGTGCTGCTTTTTTTCTTGGTGTGTATTGTATATGCAATTGGAAAGTACAGTAACAATGTTGGGAGAATTCTATATATGTACAATTGCCTAATGCACAAGCCATTTTGTACTTTTTTGCACAAGCATTCCATAGGCAGAGTTGACTAGCATTATTTCCATGAACATTAGTAGGGGATTATCAGACTGAAGTCAATATAGCGTTACAGGGTTATTATCTAAATTAGGCAACAGCTGATTCTAACAAAAACTCATCCTGTTAATCCTTTAAAATTAGACATATCAAAGAAATTGTTGAAGGAGTGATTCATCTTTAAAACTGTGGCGCTGAATCTTATCTCTCCCCTTTTAATATTGCTGATATAATACACCTTTAGAATTTTTAAAAAAACCCTCTTTATTGGTTTAGAGACATCAAATACAGCCCTGAACTTCTGTTTACCTGATTTATATACAGTTTTATACCCAGAATCCAACTGAATATATAGGCGTAAATACATAAGACATTTTGGAATATTTTTTACCCATAATTGCAATTATGCAAATCATATTCTCTTAAAAAGTAATCAGCATAAATTAAATTCTTCATTAGTTGCTTAGGGGATCAATATTTTCTTTTTCATTGGATAAAACAAGAATGAAAGAAGAAATAAAATCTGCCCATTGTTAATACCTCATAGTGTTTTCCAAAGAAAGCAAGCATCCCTTGTGCATTCAGGCAGCCCTGTTGCCTGAGAATGTAACAGAGTTAGTTTTACTTGAAAATAATCCACCATCCAATGGTTAAGAAATTCACCTGGAGGGTTGGATTTGATTAATGGCTTTGCCAGATGAATGCAGAATTCTTGAATGCCAGAAGTTTGTATATTAATGCAAGATGCTTTGCTGGCCACAGAAATAGCATATGCTTTAACTATAACCCAGATATCATAGCCCAAAATAGCACATTGTAGTGCTTTGAAATTTAATGAATTTAAATCACTGATGGCAGTAGCAGATACAGCACTGAGAAGTATGTGGGTGTACCATACTTATAAACTTGATCCTAGGTTTTAAAAACATGTATTGATATTTCACCAACTTCTTCAAGATTCAAATCATAAAAGCAGTATGGTCCCAAAATGTTTGTAACTTCAAGTTATGTTCTTGAAACCATAGTTCTACAGATATATATCAAGAGAACTCTTACCAGTATGCTACCATCCTGATATATTGGATTTTTGCTCTTACAATTGTTTAGCAATGCTGGCTGGAGTTTATGCGAACTGAAGTTTAAGAAATGTGAAGACACTATTTTGAGAAAGACAGTCTAATGTGAGCTTTGAACAGTGCATTGATGTTGGAAATGCATACTTGAACATATCTAATATATAATTTTGAGTTTTCAGACTAAAACATGAACCAAAATATATTTGAAATAAACAGTTCTCTGAATGTTATTATGTAACCTGTCAATAACAGGTAGATATACCCAGTGCTTTTTTGTAAAAAAAAAAAAAAGGTGCCAGAACTCACATGTCATACATCCCTCCTTGCCTACCCTACAAGGTTCCATACAAAAAAGGTGCTGGAACTCTGTTCTGGGCATTCTATGACAACCCCCCCCCCCCGGATATACCTATATATTAGGAGATGTCTATACAAAAGTCCATCCAAGTCTATACAAAATTATATTTATAAAAATGTGCCAATACATTACAGTTGGAAAAGCTGTTTGCAAAGGTAAAATTGCAAACAAATACCGTAGTAGGTGACTTACCACAGTTCATTTAGGGACTACTCAAAGTTACAATGGTGCTGAAAAAAGGTACTTGCAGAATCCCCGTAGTCACGTGATCAAAATTCAGATGCCTGGCAACTGGTTCATATTTATCACCATTGCTGTGTCCCAGGGTCATGTGGTCCCCTTTTGCGAACTTCTGACAAGCAAAGTCAACAGGGAAACCAGATTCACTTAACAACCGTGTTACTAAATTAACAGCTGCAGTGGTTCACTTAACAACTGTGGCAAGATATGGGGCAAAACTCACTTAACAAATGTTTCACTTAGCCACATAAATTTTGGACTCAATTGTGGTCATAACTATTCATATTTAGGGAAGCATACATGACATACAAATTTTATTCCAGTTTTTTAAAATTGATTTATTTATTCTTTGTTTATGTCCTCAAAAAATATTTGTTGCCTTGTCTAGGCATGGGGACTTGGAAGCCTTTTTAGGGAGTCATTCGGCTCTTCCTGAATTCATTTAGTTTTTTCATTTTTCTGAGAATTTTGAAACATTTTAAACTGTTCCTGAAACCTCAAAACATTTTCATGTCAAGCTCTAGACAAACTCTATAATATATTCAGTGGATATCTGACTTCTGCCAATTGGCATAACTGCATGGAATATTGTAGATGTAGAATTCTGAGCAATAATGAATGAATCCAGCTTCTTCTCTTTGAGAAAAAAATATGAATGACATACAATAGTACTAGGGCACACTGTCTAATTCTGCCCAAAGTGTAAGTACACTTGATTTATATTACTTAAGAATGGAATGTGATTATACCAGGGGATCTGAAAATTGGTTCCAAGGAATCTGGTTTTGCATTTCTATTTAAGAAAGTTGGGAAGCTTTGTAGTTAAATCTCTATCCACATTAAAGGAGAAGACAAGTTCACATTTTTCATTTCATGCATTCAGATGACAGTTCTAGGACTGACAGACCATAAATGTCTAGGAAAGGCAATGTATAAAGTTGGGGCAATTGTTTATCACTAAGTCTGTTTTTCTGGATACTGTTCATTATTGCTTCTGTAAAGGGAATATGAAGCTGAGTTATCCTTTTCTAGTATGAATGCCTTCCAGGGTGGTTGGATTTCAACTTTCATAATTCCCAAAGACAAAAAACTTTTGGGGAGAGGTTAGTCCTCAATGAAGATGTTTCATGGCTCATCAAAACCTAAGTCAAGCTGAATAGAATAGAATAGAATAGAATAGAATAGAATAGAATAGATTTTTTGGCCAAACATGATTAGACACACAAGGAGTTTGTCTCTGCTACAGAAGCTCTCAGTGTACATGCAAAACAACAGAGTAATAATAATTATAATAATCATACCAAAAAGGGAAGATAATAGAAGAGATAAGAAGGGTAATACAGCCTACATAAGGACAGTCCTGTGGGAATTAGGTGTTCAGCAGAGTGATGGCACAAGGGAAAAAACTGTCTTTTTGTCTAGTTGTTTTGGCATGCAATACTCTGTAGCAGTGTTCATACATACATACATTACATTTATAAGAGACATGGAAAGATACATGCTCAGCATCACAAGACAAGATAAAAAGATCTGCACATGGATTACAGAACAAACGAAA